CGGGCGGGGGCGGCGGCGGCGGGGCGGGGGCCGGGCTGGGCGGCGCGGCACTGCCGGGGGGGCTCAGCCCCCTCAGCCACTCGCCGCCCATGGGCACCCCGCTCTCCATGCACGGCCCCGGCAGCTACGCCGGGCACCCGGCCGGAGGGCTGGTCTGCGCCGCCCAGCTGCCCTTCCTGCCCAGCCCCGCCGTCCTCTCGCCCTTCGTCCTGGGCTCCCAGACTTACGGCGCTCCGGCTTTCTACACCCCGCACCTATAAGCCCGACGCTCCTTCCTCCTCCTCCTCACTCCCGGCTCCTTCCCGCTGTGCCCGCCGCCCCTCCGGGGATGAGCCGGGCTGGCCCGGGGGCCGCTCGCAGCACGGCCCCCACACCCCGCACCCCAGAGGTGAAACCAAGAACCGACCGGCAGCGACTCCGGGGGAAAGGGACAGCCCCGTGCTCCTGCCGCCCCCGGCTGCGACCCACGCCAAGGGCACGAAAGGAGCGGCCAGAGGCTCCCGGGACCCCGCGGGAGGCTCCCCCGCCCTCGGGCCTTTCTACGACCCTTTTTGTACGCGATGTGTCCGGACTGCGCTGCTGAGGGAAGGAGGAGGAGAAACCTCCCTCCCCCGTGTACATACAAGTAGATGTAAATCATCGTTACCTGTATTTTTATTTTCACCGTCTCTCGTTGCTATGTGGGTTTAATTAATTTATTAATTACTATTAATATTATTTGCCTTTGTTTTTTTATTCTGATCTGGCCACTAGCGAAAGACTTTCAAAGAATAATAATAATAATAAAAAAAAAAAAGATTATGTACCCATTTGACTCTCAGGGTAAAACGGAGAACTATCGGTCCTGTCCCTCGACATTGCAGAAGCAGAGACACGTCGCTCCTTCCGTGACCTCAAGGTGACAAGGGATATTTTTTACAACGTCACTGTCCATCGACCCCCGAGCGGGGCCGGGAAGGGGCGGCGAGGGAGGCTCCTGGGGTGCAGGGCTGTTTTTTTACGTTAATCGTTTCTGTATATTTCTGGTTGTTACAAAAAAAAAAAAAAAAAAAGTTTTAACTTTATAATTAATGTATAAGACGAGGGAGTAAAGAGCAAGAGGTGATAAAGAGAGCACTTTGTTTGCTAAACACTTTAAATGAATCAATAAACTCTAAAGAAAAGGCGCTTTCCGTGGTGGCGAGTCCCTGGTTTTCGGGTGAATCTCTGTAAGACAAGTTTCCTCTGGAAAACGCCTGCCTCGTGAGACGCTCGGAGGAATGTCTTGCATCATCCTCTTTCTTTTTCGTTTACTCTGAGAGCGTATTTCTTACACGCAAATAAACTTTATTCTTCTTGTACGAGGGAGGGTATTTCCCTTCTTAGTTTCCTTGTTTGCGTTTTCTTAACTGGCTTTGCCGATTTGTGCAATATTACGGACAAAACAAATTCATATATAGAGGGAATCCGACATTTCTGCCATGTTTCCGCTGATGGGAAGTCCGATATTTTGGATTTATGTAAATTTAATAACTCGGCTCTTTCATTCAGATTCCACAACTCTAAAAATAAAATAATCTTTTCATTGCCGTTCCGCTGATTACCTTTAAGTTTGTATCAAAGTTGATCTTTTATAATACTTTTTTTAGACCTTCAAAGGAAAAGTCTATAAGCGCCGTGAGCACCCCGAGGTGGCTCCGCTGCCGCAGGGACGCTGTTACCCCCTTTTCCCAGCCCCTGCGTGACTCCAAAGCTCAGCCGAGGAAGAGCTTTCATTTTCCACTAATTTTTGGTGGTTTGGGGTTTGCTTGTGGTTTTTTGTTTGTTTGTTTGTTTTCCTTCGGGAGCAATTCTAAGAAAGCGGTATTTTCCGGAGGGATTCTTGGGGAGCAGAGCATCCCCTTCCTCTCGGCGCCCGCCTCCGCATCGCTGCCCGGGCGGGTGCCGGGGGTCCCCGGGATGTCCGGGCTTTGCTCCCCGCTCAGCTCCTTTCCCCCCGGCCCCCCAGCCTGGCTCCGATCTGGGGTTGTGTATGGCCGGCTGTTCCACAGCCGCACCCCACTCCCTCACACCCTCTCCAGAATGGAATCAAATGTTTCAGCCCTCCCGTGGAAATAAAATCTGCAGCTACTGCCGATATTGGAGACGAGGGGGGAGCGGAGCCGGCTCCAGGCTGCAGACCCCGCCGGGCGGTGGGTGCGGGGTCCAGCAGCCCGCGGGAGCCGCGGGGAGGATGCGGGATGCTCCAGGTACTGCGGGATGCTCCGGGTTCTCACTTCCCTGCGTGCAGAAGCGTACAAGCACCAGAAGTCTCTGACCAGATTCGTTTGCATTTGTGAAAATAAGAACTTTTACAATGAAAGGTGTTCTGAAGTAAGTTTTCAGGGAAAACACGACAAGTAATAATGCTTGAAGTAGTGCTCTGCACAGCTCTTACTGGTAGAAGAAAACCAGCTAAATTGGGAATCAGGCACTCACACTATGCCAGGTTTGAGTAAGTGCCACTAACAGCCAAACTGTTAGCTCAGGTGAGGCATGACACAGATGAATAAAGAGATAATTCAACCCCTCTCCGCACTCCAGGAGCTCCGAGCAGTTTCCTGCCAGTGGGAAATAATTTGGCTCCAGCAGGAGCTGCCCAGAGCTTCAGGGTGCTTGATTCCCCTGCTCCAGGCCAGTTAGCGTCCTGCCAGTGAAACCTATTCATGTGAGTATTATTGCTCACAGCTGCTGGATGAAGGAGCCGGTTAGCCTGAGATTCCCGGTCATTAAATGCGATTTAACAAGGCTTCTCACATTTTATGGCAGTGCTGAAAACAGAGCCACAGGTATCTTTCTCAGCATAGTTTAGGAAGTTATTGATAACCCTTGCTCCAGTGCCTCATCCAGAGGTCTGAGATCATAAAATTCTAGAGCAAAACTGCACAGCCTCAACTCTAGTGTGCATCTTCCCCAGCATGCAGCACCTGCAGTGCAGTTTTACACTCTGCCCACAGGTACTGGCTGTGTCCAGAGGGCATTTGGAGCACCAACACCAAAGACCCAGCTCAAATAATGATCCCTGGACCAAAACTCTGCAGCTGGCTCATGGTGTTGGATCAGAGCGTGTGGGTGTAAGCATGACAGTGAGAAGCTGATGGTGTCAACACAGGGCAGCTGTTGAGGAACATCTCAGGTGTGAATGCTCAGCCCCTGGTGTGCTAAAGCAAAATGTTCCCACTTGTCTGAACCTCCCAACTCCATCCCCCGTGCTCCTGCCTGCTCACACTCTGGCTCTGCAGGACAGTCAAACAGACCTTGGTGCAGCATTCGAGGTTGTGGCATTAGACAGTCACAGAAAGCTCCCAAAGCTCCTACAGTGACCCCTCAGCAAGGCCCAAAAGCCACTTCCCATGTGGTGCCTGTCCGATGTCCCTGCTGCCCTGCACACCACGCCCAGTGCTCGTGCACAGAGTTCTTGGAGCTCCTTCTCCATGAATCATCAACGAGCCCTGGAACAGAGCAAGTGGAACACACTGACTGAGGGGATGATGGTTATGACACAAGCAGGAGGTGTTTGCTCTGGTTCATTCTGTCAGTCAAATTATTTTTTTAATTACTTTATTATTCATTCATAAAATTTAGTGTTAGGGGATTCAGGACACGGAACACATCCAAGGGGACATCGATCAAAGCGTTTGCCAGAGGACAGAGTCTCAGCTCTGACAGACTGAGCAGCACATTCAAAGCCTGATTCAGTGAGCTCAGGTGACGTCTTTGGCATGCACCAGAGATGATCTGGGGCATCAGCATATTTTTGGACTAATTCCCATGAAATCAATATTAAATCCAAGGCTGCAAACCTGTATTAGTAAGAAAAGATTCAGATATTAATAGCATCTTACTATTGTTCACTCTGAATAAACGAGGTTAAAAAAAGGAAAGTGCATCTATTTTACTTCAGCTTATACTGAACAAATTTCAGTTTTCAGTAAAATGTCTCCCAAACAAAACAATAGAAAAAAGCACATAAATACAGACAGATATGTTCCAAACAACTGAGAGAGAACTGAAAATATTTTGAAATATTTTGTGTCATTGATTTCACTCAGCAGTCAATGATGTTTCACAAAGTCACTGCAAGCCACTTCTGCACTATCACCTGCAAAAATTCCTCGTGTTGTTTCCACTTGAGCAGGGTGCAGTGAATTACATTTTTTTAATTCTTAGAGGTTTTGACATGTATCTCAGACTTTCTGTTTCAGACTGAACTCAGTCATGTTACTCATTTCTAGTCTTATACTACACAAATGAAATGTTAAAGATAAAGCTTTGTCTATATAAACTTAAATCCATTTCCCAAAAATACACCATGATGGCTGCTTGTAGTCTGCTGTATTAAAAAATATCCATGAATTCCTGTATTACATGACAAAATAATTCTGCTCAAACAGTTGAATTTAAATACTCAAGGGAAAACTACAATGTCTGGACATTTCTGGTCTTCAGGTTCTGTCTCAAAGATAACCAAATAAATACAGTTGTTGTAGAGCCTTTCTTAAGAGCAAATAAAAGAAAGATTTTTTTTTTCTGCTATTGGAAGATTTTCCAAACTCCGGGAAGCAAACCAAGGCAGAGAGCAGAGGGACACTGGGGATGAAGGGGACAGGCAAGTAAACAAAGAGGATCCTAATCAGTTTGTCTCTCAAAGTGGGCTTACATAAATGGTCTGCATAAATCACATTCTTCTCTGTCTAGTGGGGTTTTTTTACTTCTTTCCCTCTTGGTCACACACTCATGTTCTGTGCCACATGCTCTTGTTAAACAGACATCTCAGGTGGACAGAATGGGGGCTGTCACAGTGAAAATAACCCTGACAGGAAGAGCTCTTTCTCCTTTCCTGATGCTGTCTGGCAAAGATGTGAATTCATCATACAGAGTAAGCTTTAAAACAGGTTATCACAGCCTTGGAAAGCTACAACTTTGTGCCCACTCAGGAGAAATCCCATTGATGCTGGAAATCCTAAGAATGCAGCCTGTATCAATAGAGAAGGAGCCAGAACACAGAGCATGGCCAGAACAGAAAAGTCTGGACAAACAGGGTCAGGCAATATCTGTTCACAATTTACTAATTTATTCTTATGATGTGACACATGTTCAGGTAGCTAAAACTAGCCAGGTCCACTCAAAGTGATAGACTTTATTTTAGAATACATCTTCTAGATTTTCTTCTCTGCAATGACACAAACCAGAAACATTTTACAGTGACAATGAAGGAGAGATGACATCACAACAAAGAACT